CCATCAAAAATGTGAAGTCAGTATTCTTAGTTTTGGAAGAAAGAGGAAATAATTTGCTGAGAGAAAAACATCACGCTCTGATGTTAGACGGAACTATCAGTCTAAAGGGATACATTTTTTTATTATTTTTCATAAACTGTCTCCCTTATTACCTAGAAAAGGGCATAAGACCAAAATCTGATAGAATTTCCTAGAAGACTACATCAGCATCATTGAAGAGCTACCGAAGTTGCTGAAATAAATGCTACCACTAGATGACAGCAAATACTCGTTTGCTGTGACATTTTCCTCCCTGCGAGCAGATCGACTACTAGAAAGTAAATCCAGACAAAGAAATGGAGCAGAGTTCTTCACCGAGTAAAATTTGCTTTCTTATTGGATAGCAAGGTCTTTATTTCAGCTCAAGTAGCATTCTGCTTCTTAGTCTTAACTGTGAATTATCTGAGTCATATGACTTTCTGATATTCCTGTTTGCAAACCAGTACTCCAGCAATTATGTCAGTTTTTATTTTTACTCACCTTCCTCCAGTTCCTCTAAGGCAGATGCTGATCTCAAAGGCATGTTCTCACAACCAAGTAGCTGAACTTTTACAAAGAAGCAAAGAAACCCACTGCAATTTAAGAAGTTTTGTTTATTCTGACTATTTTTGTATGCAACCCGATGCAATTGAAGATGTCCCTGCTCAGTGCAAGGAGWCACRCTAGGTGACYTTTAAAGGTCCTGTCCAAACCAAATTATTTTAGTATTATGTGATTCTATGGTTATAACTGAGGYCTGCTGAAAAGTACAGCTTAAGTAGTATACGAATGTCAAGCCTTTGTGCAAGTAGCCCCCACTACATGRATAGGAGCCATGTCTGTTTACAGCAACCAGGCCCCTTACAACGTTAGAATGGCATTATGTTGTTATACATTGTTAATGGCTAATTGTAGTGTTGGGGGCTTTTAATTAACTTTCTCCATAAGGYGAGATTCAATGCTGTGATGCTGAGCAACCTCTTGCTAATTAAAACAAAATTCTGCACTGATCAAGACAGAGAAATGTAGCCTCGTCTGTTACATTTAAGTGAAATTATAAAAAATACCAATTTAAACAGTATAAGATCATTATTGGTGCTCATTCCWGTTAAATAAGCTTGAAAGTTTCAGGAACAGTACAGAAAAAATAATAAATAAATAAATTAACTGTGTCTGTAGRTTCAAATTACTAAACTGAAAGGGATGCAACAGATTTGAATCCTATTAAGAGATTAATGTGAAACTAGTAGSTATTTCAGACTAGCTGAGTGAGGACAGTAAGACCACTGGGACTCTCCATTATGCTCAAAGCCTGGAAGAAGTACAATAAAACCACACTTTGGACCAGTATTTTTTAAGTAAAAGCAAGTTATAAGTGTTTTGCTCATTTCTTAACAGTCAATACACATCACTGCTTGACACTTGATCTGTTAAAGCTGCATTCTTTTCCCAGTATTTCTGTGGGTGTCCGAAGATGCAGGAGTGAGCTGAAGGTGCACTGGAGCCCTGRTGGCTTGAGCAGGCTGTTTCTGTGAAGCTGCTGACCACAGCCAGACTTGGATTCCCTCTTTGTTCACTTCCCTGCATGTACACAGCTGGAATAGCAAAGGAATAGGGCATTGAGATGGGAATGTAGCCTTGTCATCCTGCCGGATGCCTCTGCCAGTAACAGGCCACAAACTCCGCACTGAGCGTRCAGCAGCTCAAGGCTGAGGTTTGCCACACTTGGTCTGGCCCATCTTTCCCTGATCTGCATGAAGCTCTGAGTWCTGTTTATTTGTGACATCAATTTCTCTAACTGGCCAGGTGTAAATTGCTAATTTGTTTTACTTTTTTATCCTTGGATGTTACAACCATTTTTTTTTTTGTTACCGCTTGTAGTAACAAGCTGCCATTCTGTGTAGGATGAGACATTTATGGGTTTAATGTAATGATGCAGCATAGAGAAACATGACCGATACAKTATCAGTGGCCTTGAGAAATGGAGACAAGGATGTGTTGTAGAGGAGTACAGGCATAAGGCCTGATAAGAAATGTGGCATAGGCATAGCACTGAAATCCCACTGCTATAAACAATTCACCCACATTCAGTTGAAACAATGCAGACCTGGACCTGTATATGGTGTGTATCATGAACATACAATTTATGTAACAAATCTGGATGCAATGTGGAGCTGCAGAGCAGTATAGGATGGGCAAAACATGGTTGCAAACATCGAAAAAAAGCTCAAGTGGACTGAGGGAGGAATGAGAAACAATGGACGCTGCTTGGGCTAACATTCCTGGTAGCAGAGGAAAGAGCCCAGAAGGAGAAGCAGATGCCATTGCTGTGTGCTCTGCAGGGCAGCAGGGCTGCTGACAGCAGCAGACAAATAAGGTGGCTCATGAGGACAGCAGGTGGCTGAGATCCCAACCCTATCCATCCTCCCCTCTGGCCACATCCTGCCTAGAGGAGTTAGGATGGAACATGAACCACTTGGTCCAACATTGTGGGAGTTTATACATAAGGATTAAAAAGAATCTAGTAAAATACTACCAAACTCAGAACCGCTTGAATTTTAAAGGGCATAATGAGTTAAACCATGRTCATCCATTCATGTCCCTGGGTATTCCTGAAGATTAAACCCAGGAGGTGATATAAACAAAAGACTGCCAGGATATAATTTCTGTTAGTTTAAAGATCAACAGAGCTCATAAAAACATGTGCGAAATAGAATACTGTGGAGAAAAGTGCTGCTTTGGAAAGTCTCTTTCTGTAGATGTTTGATWTTCATAAAGGCACAGGAGTGATCAAATCATTCTAACTTGCCTCTAGAACAGAAACTCCTCTGCCTCTGCCAGGGAGCAAAATATGTAGGGTTTGTTGAAAAGATCACTTCCTACCTACTGCTTTGTGTTTGGGGGGAGGGCATGAAGCACCATTATTGGGGATTTATCTCGCTGTGAAGTCCTGGTGTGGATGGCCATCATGGTTGCAGAGGTGTGGCTGTGTCACTATTGGGACCTGCACAGGAAGAAATGCCAATGCTTTTCCTCACCAGATCCCTCCTCACCCCAATCTGAACATCCCCCACCTGCCCCACCATCCACGTCACARCCCCAAAACAGGGATTAGGGGTGCCTGCCTGTCTCTTTCACTCTCCTCCACAGCTTCACTTTAACTAAATCATATTTCCTTGAAGGCCATCCTTGACATAGGTCCCAGTAACACAAATATTACAACAACTTCACTATAGGCAGCTTTTAAGGGACCTGCCATTACCTTTCCTCCTCTTTCATTTTGGCATGATGCAGAGACAAAATGCAGCACTCCAAGCTGGACATGTAAGAACAGTCCAGAAATAGCTGGTTTAATAAATATCCAAGAAAAGTAACCAGTGGTCTTCTTGAGAGGAGAGGATAAAGAAAAGGCTGTTGGTATGTGACCAGTGTCATTCAACAGAACGAAGCACAAAGCACTGGGGCACCCTGACAGCCAGAGTACAGAATCCCACCCAGGAACTGCTTGCTCTCCATCCCAGGGGATCCCTTGAAATAGCAGTTTTCAGAAGACAAGCAGAGACAAAGATATGCACATTGACTAAAGCTTCTGTGGCATTAGCAATGCAAACAGTGCAGAGAAAGTCCTAGCAAGGGTTAAGCAGTATCAACATGAGCTATACAGATGCAGAGCACATACTTCTAGCTGCAGAGATGCCACTCTACAGCAACACTCCCCCACTATATTGAYAGTCATCACGGGAATGTGTAGAGTTTGCTGGAGTGTGTGGTGGATAAGCAAATATAAATAAAATAACTGTCTAAAAAATGAGCGCAAGTGTTTAAGCCATACATGGCTTTTTCCCTTATGACTCGTGGTTGAAGTTGTTTGTATTAAATCTCTGATTTTTTTTCAAATTAAAAAAAAAATACTTGAAGTTTCTGAAAGTAATCTTTCTAAAGAGAACAAGTTCTTCCATTGCATTAGGCATTTATAAGATAGATGGTATTTGATGACTTTTCTTATGACAAATGGGAGCAAAAGCAGCAAAACCTCCAAATATATTATCCACAATTTTGCACTTATGTGATCATATTATTCTATCAGTAACACTGATGACAACCTTTGACACATTATCATGCAGGACTGTGTGCCATTTATGCAGTCCAATGCACCTATCAGTGCCAGAACGTGTATTAGTTTTCAAAATTAAGAGAGGCAACTGCCAAGGGAAATGGTAACAGTATCACTCAGTAATGTAYTCAGCTTACTCAAATGCCACCAAGCTCTGCTAAACAGAAAACAACAYTGAGTAAGCAGGTTATTCTTTTTACTTCTTTTTAGAGGAAAAATAAATTYCTGAAAACTGCTTTAAACTATCAAAAACTCCTTGTGATGTAAGCAAAGAAGTCATGCCTGCTGATGGAACCACAGGGAGACTAAAAGAGCTCTATCTTAGCAAAGATACATGACTTAAATATTTTGAGTTCTTGGCAGTGAAAGACTAATGTCTCCATCCTCAGCTCTTTTGAAAACAGATTCCAAACTCATATATTCTAGTAGCAGCAAAGTGAAAAAAAAAATAAGACTGCTGATAAGGAAACAGCCACGTTTCTTTTTTTCTCTGTTAGGTATGAGAAAGTAACATACTCCTAGCACTGAACTTTCTACTTATTCAGACACATCACCAAGCATCCACAGCAAGCACAGCAGCTAGAAGTCCATTCTTCAGAACTGCATGTCCTAAAATTTTGTTTGTAAACATTTTTAATTCTCCATGATCTTCTAAGCATTCACTCATTTTGCTTTCACCCAGCTGTAGTCAAAATATCCCTCTAAAGCTAAGAGGGGAACAAAAAGTTCTGCAGAACGTACAGGGCAGGAAGTTCAATTCTAAATTGTAATGAGTGAAGAGATAAAAGCTTCAAACTAAGTTTTCAAAGCAGTGTCACAGAAACCTTTAACAAGTCATGCAGGACAGCCTGGACAACAAGTGGAAATGTCCAGTCCCCGGTTCCCCAAATCCTGAACTGGCAGGATCATGGCCTAGAAGGTCTAAGAGTTTASCCACATCTTTCAAACAGTTGACTACATGACCAAAGACTGCATTCACAGCTTTTATGTAGACAACAGATACTCCACATGATCTTGCACCTCTGCTACCTATGTATTTTTAGTTTCATTATACAACAGGTCTACCAGTACCTGGGATGGGTGCATGCATTCAAAAATCACAAAGCAAGTGGAAAGAAGTGGAAGACAGTTTAATAGTAAACACTATAAACACTTTCTACTGTGATTACATCACTGGCAATAATCACTATTGCTTCATTCCCAATGGAAGAGAGTGAGCAGGAGAAAGCACTAGGCTTCAAACACATTCGCCATATCCCCATAGTAATGCTTCACGTAGAACATAAACAACAGCCTYTTGCCTATCTGCATTTCTGCACAGGTACGTATTGCTGACATTACTTCAGCCAAAYACAAAACAGGAGAACTGTGTTTGATTCTAGTAAGTGTTAGTCTTTAAGTCAGTRGGTCAGCTGGAATTCTTAGGAAGACTTCAGGGTTGCATAAACTGCAAGAGGATAGAAGAACTATTATAGCCTATGCCATTCAGTCTTTTCTGTCATCAAAACCTTGAAGGGTTAAACAGACATTTAATCTTTTTTGTAGTTTGATGTCAACTGTTGCCTTGTTCTTCCATCACAGTGGCTATGAATACTTCTTTGATGGTCTCCTTGTCCAAGTTCCTGCCTGTAAAGAAAAATAAAGTATCTTATTTTACATGTATTAAAAAAACCCACATACATAAGTAGCAACCTGCTTCTTCTCCGCTAAGAAAATGTTTATTATACCAATGAGTGAGAATGGCAGTATTAAAATGAAAGCAACCAACAGACTTCAAGGTGTGCAGTAAGGGAAAGGCAGAAAACAAGCTTATTTTTAGCCATGAAACACTTTGTATAGCACATAGAAACAAATGGAAAATAGAAACATAGAACCTCAGCACTGTTAGCTTTTCAGAATCAAAACTGATTTTAAACATTTTAATGGCTACAATAACCTTYCTTACAGTTACTGAATGTTCCATGAAACGTTCAAATCATTCCTATCACCCAACTTATCATTACAGATTTAAAAAATAGCATTAAATATGCCAACGTATTTTATAAATACTTAAGGTTTTTTTTTTAATTTTGATGGCACTAATAGGGATAGTGTAGACTCCTCTCAGCTGCACTTTTGAAAAGCAGCAGGCTTGGATGGATAAACCTTTGACTGAGGGTTATGCTGAACATACTCACTGCACTTATTCTGGCCAGTTTAGTCTGATTGCTTTTCACTGGCCAAGTCAGAAGACTGTGAAAAAACAGCTTCTTAAACTCAAATAAGGAGATGTGTAACTTCCTCTCACCTATTAGGACCAGTCTGTTTGTTCTCTTTTCATCTTCTTTCCAGGCCACTGAAGTCTCTTCTAGGTCATAGAGCTCATGGACACCTTGGACAATCACTTGATGAGATTTGCCTTGAATAGATACCAGTCCCTTATCAGAAAAATAACTGTTAGGACATATAAACAAAACTTTAACAATAAAATATACAAGAGGGTAAACAAAACTTTCAAACTAGGTCAAGCAGGGAATAGCATTTCTGGTAACTATGCACTTGTTAGTCAAAATAAACATGTATTACCCTCACTTCTACTCATAAGATCCATTTTCATATCTCCTTATTTTGTTAAAGGCTAATAATTACACTTTATAATACTTTGCCTTCTGTTCCTCATTTGGTCAGTACCTTAGCCTGCTCAAGCTAAACTTAAATATCATATACTATGTCTCCTTGAATACATACATGGTGTTTGACATGCGARTCCATGAAAGCCTGCCTGCCAATATGATGATGTAAAATGAACAGAAATGCTTGATTTCAGGTTATTCTGATCAAGCTCCCATGCGCAACATATCTACTTTTATGAAACACCATCTCTGAATACTGGAAAAAGAACTAAAACAACAAGCAACAAAATGAGAAGGGATTACTGTCACAGTGAGTCTATTAACCCACATATCAAAAGCTCTATTAAAACTGTTTTCATCACCTCACAATACAATGTTCAAAAATATTTTAGTGGAATACTTTCTCTTGTACTCCTCTAAAGAAAATAAGTTAAAAATATTTCATAAAGAAAGGTCTCCATTTGACCTATTAGTTGGAATTGTATGACTATTACTGCCAAAAGGATGATGACTGCAGATAAAACATACATATAAAAGCAAGAAACTTTGAAACCCATAGTATAAATAGCTGCCTGGGGTTCAGTTGTTTGGGTATACTCATCTGTAACTGAGGGCCAGCACACATGACAGGCCTTATTATCTCATAAAGGATTAATCTGATTTCAATGCTCAATACAACAAAAATGTACTTGTGCATGGCATTACTGCTTTTCAGGCAGCTTCAGATACATCAGTGGCTACTTTCTTCTATTTGTCAGGAAGAGGAAGACAAGTTGACTCTAATTTTGTTGTTGAAAAAGCAAGGAAACAACTTTCCTTCCAATAAAATTGAAGTAATTATGTTTCTATTTATGATGCACAAGTGTTCTCAGGAAACAAACATGAGCTTTACTTTCTTTTATTTCCTACACCCTGCCAAATGACTGACTTGATTTTAATTCTTCAACTATTTACTTGGCCACTTGGTATAAGGTAAATGAAAATAAATCCTGAATTGTCACCTCTACTCCTCTCAAAACCAGGCAACTAAAAAATGAAGTCTCCATGAAGATGGATACTTATGAGCTGCATTTTTAAAACTACAGCCTGGCAATACTGTAAAAGGTTAATTGTAGACCACAACTACTATTGCACTCCTATGTTGCCAAATAGAATTTCTGCACATTATGGCAACAGTTGTAAGTATACCCAGCGAACTATAGGATCCATTCCATGGAAGATATCTTTCAAAGCAATGAAGGTGAAAAATCAAAAGTGATTTAACTACATCTTGATTTTTAACTCTGCCACTGTTGTTTGGGATTGTGTATCTGCCCTCTCCATTCAAAACAAGTAGGATCAATGTTTGCTCCTCTGACAGCTATCTCCTTGTGAGTGGTTCATGGAACAACAAGCTACTCTCCCTTTAATCTGCCCTGCTCCAGTGATCCAGTAGCACCTTTGATAGGCCTGTAACTGACAGCACACTGCAGTTTTTTAGGTGTAAAGAGGAAAGGCACAAAACAAAGAGGCTGGGAATTTCTGACTAACCTTCAGTCTTATGACATCCATGGTGCATCCAGTCTTATCTTTCACATTCTTCTCCCACAGAAGATTCTATGAAAAGAAATGTTGTTCCATAAACAAACTAGCATGGGATGAGCTCCTATAAAAAGCCACAACTATTTTTTGAGTTGACAATGATGTATTACCTACCTGAATAAAGAGATTTAACTTTTCTTCTCTTATATTTCCTGGAACTTCAAATGTTACTGTAATTATAGCCTGCAAATGGGGAGATACACTTATTATTACCACAATGAATATGCAACTCATTCCAGTAATTTCAAAAAGTATTCTTTACAATTTGACCTCATAAAAAGGCAAGTATATGACATCAAATTTGCAAAAAAATCTCTATTTCTGTTCTGCTCTAATTTGCTAAATTAAGCTCTACTTTTTGTTGGTTTGGGTATGCCTTACAGGGCATACACAATACTTTGAACAGTTAAATGCCATTAGCTGCTACTACATAATTCTTTGCTGTAGAGACTTATGATCAAGGTTTTAAATATGGATGAGAATACAATTCTCTTGGCACACCCATCTTCATCACAATTCTATCAGACAAAAAGTAATCAACACAGTTTTTGTAAGAGTCAACTTGTACAATCGTCTCATGAAAAGCTGTTTATAAACAGGCTATGTAGGAACAGATGCAGAACATAATGATGTCTGATGTTTTGTTCAAAAGCAACCATCAACTTACTGCACAGGATCAATTATTATAAAAAGAAAATATTAAAATAAAACATGCAGTTTAAAATTAACGATTTATTTAAAGAAGTAGTAATAAGTGTCATTATAAACTCTAAATGGTATGGAATAACAGAGAGAGAATTACTTCCTATCATCCTTCCTAGAAAGAAAAAGGAAACTACTTTCAGATAACTAACCTAAGGGAAAAGAATTAAAGCAATAAACAGCAAATGTTTATATAATGACCAAGTAAATTTATCTAAACTACCAAGAGCTAACACTCCAAACTGCTTCAAAACACAGGAGACAGAAGTTCACTGTGCTTCAAGCATAGCACAGTTTGCTTCTGTTGACCTTCCTCAAGTTGGTAAGCACACTTTATCGTCCAACAAGGAGTTGCAGCCTTGTGTGAGAAACATTCTGCCCTCATTTATGCTTCAAACATCTCAACAAACATCTTAAATCTGTGGGTGTTAAACTAAACAGAGATAGTAACAGTGAATTCTGTTTCTTCCTGGACAAATGACTACAAAACTAGCAACAATCTCYTTAACAATACAAGGGTGCTAAAACTCATAGCATTCAGAAAGGCTTCTACCTAATTTTTTTATCTACTTAAGGGATCTGTAAGGACTCTAGAACTGAGCATATTTTAGATATTTTATTTAAACGAAAACTATCAACATTGTCATTGTAATTACAATTAGGCATGAAACTGATTTTATATTTAATCTTTAGTTCCAAAATTAGATTACATTGGCCTTTTCCTGTTTTCAAGACTAGCAACTTCACAGTGAAGACCTGCAGTTCAAAAAGAAATACACACGCATTGTATGCATCATATTTTAACCTGAAAATTAAATTTAATCATACCAAATTTCTGAAGGAAAGCACAATTTTCTACGATACTTCACAAAAATAGAAGTTTTTACTTTTTTGCAGACACTGAGAGGACTTCTAGCCTATGGGTGAACCCCACCCTCCTAGGGATACCCCAGGAAGAACTGTGATGTACAATCCAACCACACAGATTTTGTTTTGGACAGAAAATCTACAGGGTAGCTTGGCTACAAATGTAGTACTTGTCTCTGAAACTACTTTACAAAACAATWGTTCTATTTGTTTCACTAATACTCTCCATGTGAATCAACAAATGACGTGACTGTCTAGAGCACTCAAAGACTATAAGCTATTTTTGAAAGTGAGATTTAATACGGACATTCAGAATCTACCTACAAAAAAGCACATTCCTTTATGTAATCTAGGTAATCATCCAAATACCTTAGAACACATTATTCCTAACTGACACCTGAAATGGTAACACAATTAGCAAGCACAGCTAATAAACAACGCATTGAAGCAATATTTTTGGTTAATTACCTTATCTAGATGCGCATGCGTTGTCTTTACATGCTCAAGCTTTTTCTGCAAACTGAAAGTAAGTTTAAATATGTTAAATGTCACATTGAATAGTGAGCAAAATGTTCATTGTTTCAAAATTTTAAAAATTCAAGTATTGCAGAGCAAAACTGAAATATCAAAGATATTTGATAAAAATGTTTAATTATATTTGACAGTTAGTTGTTTTTATTAGAAAATTAGGGTTCTTAAAACATAAAGAGAATTACAGTCGTGATGTACAGTATCTTCAGCATTACAAAATTTATACTTCAATGAATACTACACCCTTGGTTTTCTTTGGGAAAAAAAAGGCAAACTACATCATTAAAGCAATTAAGAAAAAATAAACCACTAGTATTTATCAATGGATATTTATTTTTTGAAAACTTTAGAATTATTTGAAAATCAAGAAGAATATACAAAGCTGTTGTTTGTGAGAATGAAATCAATAACACCAAGGGAAATACTGTATAACAGCTTCCACTTCCCAGTTGTACAGGTCGCTTCTACTATGCAATGTGCCTGCTAACTTAAAACAAGTCATCTCTACTCAACAAATGAACTTGGGAACTTCTTTTGCAAACTAATATTTAGGGCCTTACTATATCTTTTGGCGGGACAACATAAAATTTTGCTGCAGCTTTAGATTTCACATCCACATCTGTCTTGATTAATCAAGTTAGCACAAAATTTCTTCCAATACCATCTACTGCAATGTTTCTGTTTTCTCTCAGTCTTAACAACATGCAGAGAAGAAATACTGCAGCACAAGTCACTATGATGGCTCTCTGCCACTTCAGAGATGACTGCCCATACAAATCCCTCCTCCTAATTTGATGACTGTAAAGTTTAAGAAGCCTTTATGGAGGTGAAAAAAGACACTGTCTGCTACAGAAGTAACATTTCACATTCCTACTTCTCCCACCTGCTTTGCTTTGCTGTCTTTATTCCCACACTGCACTGCAGAGAATCCAGAATTCTTGATGTRTTTCCTGTGACTTCAGGGTATATACAGACTCCAAGGCTCTACCATACAGTCACACCAATCAGATGTTGTGTCTGTCTGCTATGCTAACAGAAACCCTTACTGCAGTATGCAGCTGAAAGAATGTATTTATTAATGCCTGGTTTGTATGTGCTCAAGTGGTGCTGGATCAGAGTATTCCTGCTCACATGATGGTGCAGAAACCACCACTAATATTTTATGTAGGTATTTCTGTTATTTACAAACTGAAAATAGGATAAGCAGTTTTGCTGTGCAGAGTTCAAACATTAACAAAAAACACAGTACTTCATTTAAGAGGTCGACCATSTTCTTGGTATTCTTAGAATTTAAATGCTGACATTTAAAAGTGTTTCCTCTGTTTTAACACCAAATATTGAGAACCTCTAGAGTGAGATAAGAGAGAATATTAGACTGAGGAAAGCAATAAATATTTCTTTTGTCAGCTCCTTAAGGACTTTCTCAGATCCGTAGTGCAGCACTTCCCAGCAAACATTGCAGAACACCACCTAATATGACAAGCAATCAGATGTAACTGTGAATCGCTGTTTTCAAGAACGATCCTTTTCTGGTTCACATCTTCACAGTGCTTTATCCCAGCTGTGTGGCTCCAGCATGAGTCAATTTAGTTAGCTAATCCATTGTAAGAACTCAGAACATGAGTTTATAATTCATAGTTATCTATTGCCTCTGAAGGATATATTGGCCTCCCTCCTCCTTTAGCTCTCCTTTGGATGCCTAGTTTGGTGTTTCCCTGATGCTCTCATTGGTAGCAATATTTCACTGATCAGACAAAAGCCAGTGCAAGCAAAAAAAAAAACCCTGAAAACAGCTACCACTTGGATAGTACAGTACCAGTTCAGAAGGAAGTCTCCCAGGCACATGTTACCTAATAGAGGCTACTGATTTGCACGTCCTGCAATTTCTCCCTTCTGAGAATAAGGAAGTTGCTACGTTCCCTTTCCTGAAGTGAAAAGTGTGCATCCAGGAAGACAAATAAAGCTGATACTGCCCTCAACTGCACATTCCTTCCTTGCCTTTATAATTGCTCCAGTGCTCCTCTCTCTGCTGAACTTCAGCACAGAAAAAGAACAGAATACCTTTTCCCCTTCCTTCCAATTTTACTTCTGCACCCATCTAGGATGCTGAAGCACGCACTTGGCATCAAAAAAAACCCAGGAATGTGAAACACAGTGATCAGAATTTGCAGAGCCTTTGTTTGCTGTGGAACCTAAGTCCCTCATTCTTTTCTGTGCAATCTATAGAGGCCTCCAATGCATCATGATATGAGGGAGAAAAATTCTGAAATGCTTTAAGAGAACCAGAAAAGACGGTACAAATCTAACACTGATATTAAACCAAAGCTTGCATTTTGGGGAACAAAGCCAACCACACTTTGGCTCATTTAATTTTATACAGTCAAAAAACTTTTTGCAGGCATTTAAAGAGGAAAGAAAATCCAAATTATATTACCAATTAAAAAGTGGTAATTTTTAAAAAGTGACTGTCCTGGTTCAGACAGGACAGACTAGACTAGAATTTCTAACAGAAACTCAGATACTCATGTGAGCCTGGATTTGAGCATGTCTATCTTATTTACATGCTTATCTTATAAATACTACGTATTTATACATAATACATAATAATACATAATACATAATAATACATAATACATAATAGAAAACAGCAAAATTATCACCGTACCTTACTCCAGATAAACTGTCAAAAGCATGTAGGTCCAAGACATTAGAGAGATCAACTCTAAACAAAGGGGAAAGAAAAGGTTTGCATTTTTGATGTATTTAAAGTATCATGTTTTAGAGATGTTTACTGAAGCGTATGTTTCTTTTCCCATTATCAGACTAATGCCATTAATTCTTAGCCTTATTTTTGGATATGAGTAGTTAGTACGRTCTTCTACAAGGAATTATTGTGTTTACTTACACAGCAATATGTAAGCACAGGATTTTTTTTTTTAAGACAGTAAAATACAAGATATTTTCAAAAAAGAGATTATCCCTTTTACTGGATGCCTGAACAATACATGAGAAAATAAACCTTGAGACTCTCAAGACAGACACAAATCCCTGAAATATATCTAGCTTACATTAACACTCTGTTAGCAAACAAAACTGAAATAACTTTATACGGCAAGCATTATTACAAAGAATTTCGACTCTAAATTTGAAACAGACAAATGAAAAATGTAATACAGAACAGGCAGTAGTGATTATATCTGCTTRTAAGAAGGGCTTCCTATAAACTTGCATATGAAACTTTTCATTACAAAGCAATATAAACTATAGATTTCCCTGCTAATAGCAACTGATAGGTTTTCAAATGCATTAAATGACATGGCTAAATAAAAAGAACGTGAGAGGTAAAGATAAAATACCACTGGAGTAAAACCAGAATGATTCAACTTTTACATTCAACAGCAGTTCTACAAAGCAATTTCTAAGTTTCTTCTAAGAGGGAAGATTTATAATATAATACACATAAACAATTCCTGTATAAAACCATGATCAGCTCTGTGTCAATTGTTCTCAGCAGTGTTCTGAAAAACCACATAGAAACCCTCTCTTTTAAATGTAGGCTTTTGAGGGACAAACCCACTAATTAAAAAGGATAATCAAGTTACATAACAATAGATTAATTTTGTGTTTATTTCACTTTTACAATGTTTAATAATGGAAGAGACCCTATGTGTCATTTACTAAAGAATAATTACAAGTAACAGAGAGCTGTCATTAAGGACTGCATCTGAGGTTCACTTTATCTCATACTCAAAATTCAGTGCTAGCTGGCATCAGACACCATACAGTATGTGAAGAGATCATATATTGGATCTCCCCCAATGGACATTTAAAACACAAAGCAAGTAGTTTCATATCTTCTTCAAAATTGGTCCTATCTGATCATTTAACAACACGTATTTTTCTCTACAATTCCAATATTTTCAAATAATTTGACAATAACTTTAAAAAGCCAAGTACACTTTATTAATGTTATGACTATTATCTTCCCTTTCAATTTGCTTAAATTAAGAACCTGTATTATAGGAACATTTACCAAAATAATCCAATAACTGATGTAAAAGTGCCCAAATCAGTCCTAGCAGTCTGGAAGATAYACTGCCTTCCTAATGTTCCTGGGAATACAATATCCATTTAACTCCTTATTAAAGAACAAATCTGAGTCAGAATTTCAATTAAAAAGATTATTGCACTGTTCTTGCTATTTCTCATTCTTGTAACTTCCTCCCACTGCTTTCAAAGTAATTTTGTAGTAATACCTTATTTGCAGGACCAATCATAATAATATTTAAAGTGACACAATAGAAGGAAATCAGTATAGTGCACGATTGATTATTYGCTCAAAACCAACATGGCCTTGCATACTGCTCCTTAGTTACAAGATTGGTTAACAGTGTATATTTGTGGCCAAGGCCAAAGGTGTCCTGAGGCGCATTAGGAAGAGCACTGCCAGCAGGTCATGGAAGCTGATCCTGCCCCTCTATTCAGCCTTGCTGAGGCTGTGCCTGGAGTGCCATGTCCAGTTCTGGGATCCTCAGTACAGGGCAGACATGGAGCTCCTGGAGGAAATCCAGGAAAGGGCAACAAAGATGATTTAGGGACTGRAGCTCCTCACTAGTGAAGAAAGGCTGAGGGAGTTAGGCCTGTTCAGCTTCAAAGAAATAACTGAGCGGGGACTTCATCAATGTGTACAAGTACCAGAAAGGAGGGTGTCAAGAGCAYAGTACCAGGCTCTACTTAGGGGTGCCAGGCAATGGGACAAGAGGTAATGGGCAAAAACTGATGCACACAAGTTCCACCTGAAGATGAGGAGGAACTTCTTTACTGTGCAGATGACCAAGCAGTGGAACAGATTGTCCAGAGAGGTTATGAAATCTCCCTTACTGGCAATATTCAAGGACTATCAGGACACAATCCTGTGCGACATGCTCTAGGATGACCCTGCTTGGCAAGAAGGGTGGACCAGATGACCTACTGTGCTCCCTTCCAATCTTATTCATTCCCAGATTCTGGGATATGAACACTAACAAAGAACAATATAAATCAAAAAAACATTTTTACTTCCTCAGGAAAAAATCTTTTTTTTCTAGATGCTTATTCATAAAATAAATACTGGATTAGATATTTCCAACTCAATAGTTTCCCTTTAATCAAGCTGATCTAACAGAACACTTAAAACTGTCACAAAAGAAGCAGAATCTAGTACCTAGTAATAGTGGCCATTTAATACCTTGATCTTTGTGTCTCTAGTATTTTAACAAGTCCATTTATTGACCTAAAATAAAACAGAAAAATTGTAAGTTAGATGAAAATACAACCGTGACATATTGTTTGAATATGTTATCCATGTGAAGGAGCATCCCAACTCCCTATCAACTTGCTAAATAACCATCAGATATTTGGGTTGAGATATTTGGTTTCCACTCACAGCTGGGGAACGTCATAAGATACTACCAGTGAGAACAGCATTTTCCTATCTAAAGCTCTTCATGATACAATCTGCCAGATGTAAGCATTTTTATTTTCATATTTCAAACAATTAATACAGTTGTAAAGTACATTAAATTTTTAATGTTTTATTTGGCTTATCATGGTATTGATAGAAAAAGGTCATGTCTTAGATCATTAATTTGATTCAGASCATTGGTTCGTCTGCTCCCATGACAATTGTTTGGGACTTCCTCCATACATCTTTACATTTACATACTGAACTCATACTTAGCAGCAGATCTTTTTTCCTTTCTGCTAATTCTGAAAAATGGCAACAGCTGCTCAGAAATGTAAAAACATGAACACTTAAGACAAAGGCTTATTTTTAGTAAATAACATAAAATCTTACTTAGAAGGCAAAATGCTAAGATTGTGTAAGCACACAGAAGTATGGGAATATCTTTAGGAAGAGGCAGTTTCTTTTCCCTTATAAGCTTATATGTATTCGATATTGACATTATCGAATTATGTCAACCTAATCGTGATATGTAATTAGTATTCTAACAGCAAGAAAGAAGTAACTATGTTTAAATTCATTTTTGAGGCAGTAGAATGTTATAGTTAAGCCAAAGTTTCATACCTTACCGATGTTCTGACTTTATTCAATTCTTCCTCTGAAACCAAATCTGTTTTATTGATGATTATAAGATCAGCTAATGCAACCTGCCTATGTATTGAGAAAAAAAAAAAAAAAAAGAGAGAAAAAGACAACATGAATAAATACTTTATCTGTAAGGTAGAAATATAATCTCTCTCTCGGCCCCAAAAGACAGTACGAACTTTGTTTGTACAGAAGGGCACACATTACCAAACTAGAACATCATGGGGAATGATTAAAGTACWACTGGCATCTCCTCCATGTGGTCCTCTGTGCCCTAAGAGACCAATCAAGGCTTGCAAGATCCTTTTGTTTCAGGGTGGGCTTTTTGTCTGCTTGATTGGTCGGGTTTTTCATGGCATTTAAACYGCAGTGCTTAGTGATTTAGTAATTTCACAAATCCCTATTTGTCTTGCACGTAGTCCTTGTAAAGTGATACTTGAAGGCTCTTTGTTTTATGAAGACCTCAACTGTTACAATTACCCTTAACTATTGTGGCTCCACATTTAATAAAAGGTATCCCTCTATCCCCAGTTCTACTTCAAGCATGATAGATCCTAACATGAAATTCTCAATTCCCCACAACACAGGTGCTTCCCATCCAATTAAATAAAATCCCACCACTATTAAAATAGCAGAGTCAGATCATGGCAGAAAGAGCAAATGGAGCATGACATGAGTTAATATACTTTTCTGTATGTTACCTCATCACACCAATCTATCTTGGTTTAAGCAAAGCAGGAGAAAAAACTCTATAAAAGAAAAAGAAGCCATTTCCRATGAAATACAGTACAAGTCCTAACTGTGATATGTAAGATTAATTTCTACATCCGTACCGAGATGCTTCATTGATAAGGCCTTCTGGCTTCTCCTCTGTCAAGTGCTAAACAAAAATTAAAATAATTGTATTAGTCATATTCAAATGAAATTTAAATTCATTTGTAATTAAAGAAAATCAAACCAAATTCAGCTGAGGTTTGTTTTTCAACAAGGTACTGAACAAGATGGTATCCAGAAACTTTCTCTTAATCATGGTTAAAAGGTACATATATGTATTCACCATTAGAGATTTATAACTACCTTAACGCAAGYTCTTCCAATGATTTGGAAAACTTAATGATATTTATTTTAATTACTTTTCAGCTTTACAATTAAGTAATAAAGTCACCATGAGATACAGTAACAATGAAAAAAATATAACTGGAAGAAAATGGAGTAATTTTACAAATGAGTGCGAACTCAACTAACCATTAAAACATGGGCCAGGCTTGCAATACAAGTATTTCATACAAGTAACTTCACACTCTCYCTCTGACAGACTGTACAAAACAAACTGTACTATAAAAACAGATCTTGTTATTCAGTTATTTCTCCRAGTAAAAACTGGTAACTTTTTCCAGGTTTGTATGATTAAACCACTACTCTTGAGCAAGTAATTCAAAATCAGAAGCTGCAGGAGTTTCAGTATTATCTCCACTTGTCTGCCAAGCTAATGTCTTCACGGAAGAATTAGTGAAAGAGAAAAAAAAACTGCATCCAAAGCATCAGCACGAAGTTTAGAAACACAAAGCCTTACTTAATTGAGGCACAGCAACAGACAACAGTGAAGCAGCAAAGGTCTAGCTACAAGTTAYTTTCTGCCCACTCTGCCATGAAGGCAACAATCTCCAGGAACTAAACATCTGGAGGAAGTAAAACTTCAAATAGATGCTGTAATATTAGTAAGAACCTGCCACTTATGCTTACATCTCTGGGAAGATTAAAGTCCTGTGCATTCCCTCATCAGCTCTAAATATATTAGGAATACTACTTTAAAATTCAGGTTTCAAGATACAGAAATACCAAATGAAAGTGGAATCAATTGTCATGGGAAATACACAGATATTTAAAAACCTAGAAAACTTTTTTTCTTTATTGGAATTATCAGRTATCTAACAGTATTTCACTTGAAAAACAAAAATAGGTTATTGCATACTGTGAGTCTGCCATGTTAATACAAACAAAACTACTTCCTGATTGCGCACAACCTAAGCGGAACACAACAAGATGACTCTCAGGAGCCTCTCCTCTGACCTTTTCCTTGTAATCCTCTGTGTATTGATTCTATTCATTTAATGTTTAGTTTTGTTGCCCTGAAGAATAAATGTCAGTAGTCGAGATGTCAAGTCCTGGAAGCTAAGGACTGCAACTTCAAGCTGTCCAGTTGATGGCCCTCGATTAAAAAAAATGAGTATTTCTGATTGCTGTGTGACAAACCCATTACAACGGTAACCAAAGGTATYAATTACAACTTCAGTTTCAAACTTGGCTGACTGGTCAGGCAGATGTTTGTCAGCTTTTCTGGTGATGGGTTTGGGTTGGATCTTTGAAGCATTACATACTTAAATTACTGCCTATTATCTCATTGACATTACCTGTATGGCTTTCAAATTCCTTGAATAACAAGCAGTTGTTCAGGTCAAGCTTTGCAACCACAGGGACTGAACAAGCTAACAAGTATTTTATATAATGCAAAAGTTGTTTACTTAGTACCCAACTGAGAAAATGTGAAGTTCCTACTATTCTGAGTAGATGTCAGTGTTTTACTGGTTTACTGATTAGATAATGTACATTTTCACTGAGCCGTCAAATATAATACTAGACAGAAAATCTGAATGTTTCATAATATTTTTGTTTCTGATATATTAGCTGAAATTTTAAATATTCAAAAAACAAATTTTCAAACACTAATAGTTTGGTGCTGCTGTGTGCAACACAATTATATTTGATCCCAGATAATAATTGAGCATTGCATGAAGAAAAAGATAAACACAACAACATTTTTATGAGCAATAAAGCACATCTGAATTAGTATGAAGAACCCAGCTACAAAGGGGCTGACCTAAAACATGATAATTMTTCTGATAGTTGAGCTGATTTAGAAGATAGTTCCTGCTTAAAAGGGCCAATCACCCCTTTCCCTCACTCTTCTACTAACTTCTCCACAAATGTTCTTGCAGAACATAATGAATGTAATTTGTCAAACTGGCTTGCTGTGAGTTAGATTTTTTCTGTCCCAGTGCAACACAAATTGACAAGAGGCAAGGACTACTACTCTTTTGATAAATCAGCTATTAGCTCAGCACAAATGAAAAGAGAAACYCAAGTAATCCAAACAAAATAATCTTACACAGGAAGGATCCCTCTCCTATCTTTAAACGGTTACTCTTCAGTTCTCTGAGCCTTTTGCAGCCATTGCAAATGCAAAAATACTAAAAACACTTCCACAGCATAGAATTTTTAAATGACTAAGATGTTTTTTCTAATGGTCCCTTTTTTTTATCCTGCAAAATCAATACCCAATTAAAGCAGTCACCTCGTAAGTTGTTAAGCAGCAAATACTTAACATTTATATCCACCTATTAAAAACCCTCAAACCTAAACTATTTAATCACAATTTTTGCTGTAACCCAAGCTTATTATTCTGTATGTCTGTTCTTACATTAAACTTTGTATACAGATTAATACCTGCTCTTTTTGTCTGCTTGCGTATAACATTTTCACGCGATACAGGACCAGGATGCCTGTGCTCTCATTTCTCCCCACCACAGCTGCCATTCCAYCAGCACCCTTCGCAGACTGAGCTGTAACTCAATTGTAACCACACTGGTATAAAACACCTGTTCTTAGTCCTCTCCTTTCAAGTAATGCAGACCAATGACCAATTTCTCCATTGTTTTTACAGCAATCCAAATGCCTATTTTGAACAAAAGCAAGATTCCTGAGTGAAGGGATAGAACAAGAAGGAACTAAGTACTTAGCAATCTGACAACTCTTGTCAGATGTGTTGATATGTCCATAAGAGCATGAATTCCTGCAAATATCAGTACTTCCKTGTTCCTATTCAAAACACARTCCTAATGAAATACAACCTCATTCAATATAAGAATTATAGCTATTGCAAAAATTCATCCACATGAACATTATTGTAATAGCTGTTCTAAGGCTGAAGTTTTAGACAACCGAACAAATCCAGTAACTTACTTGCAATCCATGCTTTGCATCAACGACAGACACAATACCTAAAATAAAATATTAAAATGGAAAAGAAATGTGCTGAAAAGTAGCTGACAGCTTAACAAAACCTCCGGTACAAAGGTAACAATATCAGCATATTTGTATCTGGTTATAATAAGCTGGAAGAACTGAAAGTATCTTAGCATTAGAATTGTTACCCAAATACTTTTTTATTCATTATCATATCTGTGGTAGCAAAATGTCAAAAGCACCAGATGAGAAATCCCCACAAGCAGATGTCTCCTGTTCCACAAAAGCAAATTGTCTGAGGTGTGCTTTTACAGAATATTGAAACAAATTAAGGGACTGACTAAAGTATGCAGTTATTCTGGTTGTAAATGACCAGGAATTTGCAAGTGTCTGGAAAAAATTTAGGAAWTTCTCTCTTATTCAACTCAATGTTTCCTTCCTTAGCTAGATAGATATTTCACAGACAGACCAAAACATTTGTGGAGCATTTTTTTATGCCAAAAAGTAAGTTCTTTTCGTACACTAAAAAAAATGCTCTTTAACTACATATAGTGATGACTTATCTTTCAGTAATCACAGGTTTTTATTGCAACGCAGCAAATATTAGAGCCTACAAGTACAACAGGCAAAGAAAGCAAAAAAAAGATAAAAATATCTAAGTGTTGACAAGTTATGAATTCAGAGAAATAGGAAACCCTTTAGGAAATTCTGCATTGCAGGAGAGGAGGGAAGTAAAAAGAGAAAAAAAGCATATTTATGTACTCCTAAGTAAGGTTTTAGAACTTSTAGCTAATGAGAATTTTTTCCCCCTTACATCACAATCAAGAGGTGTCCATATCTGATCTCTTATTAAAGCATTACACAAATTTTGTTGATTTAGCAGGATGAAACATGCCACGAAGTAGATAAACATGCATCAGAATAAGCAACAATACCGCTGTGATCAGACCTGGCAATGTGAAAACCAAGTTCATGCATTTCAAACATCTTCTGAAACCTTGCCTTAAACACTAGTATCTTACACTAAATCCACATATGAAATGGCAATACACAGGAGAACAAGCTCGCATTCCTTACCATCAAGATAGATGTCACTTCCCAGCTCAGAATCAACCCAGAACATGGAGGCCACAGCTCCTAAGAAGTGCAGTATATGTAGCTGCAATATTTTGATATTTCCCATAAACTACCAACATTCAGATATTTCATAGAAAAATTGCATTTGTAGTGGTAACATCAGTAACTAAAGTTATTCCAACACCTAAAACTGTCCACCAGAAGAGGTAAGACACAGTCCTTCAAACACCACCAAAACCAATTACCTGTCAGTTGTTCACAGTGCTTACTCATGCAAGATATAGCAAGGGCTACAACATGTAATCATTTTCTGGTATCTATTGATTTTTTTTCAAAAAAGCTTAATAGTTTTCCAATTTGACTCAAACAGAATTTGTGTGTAACATAGCCCAAATCAATGTCCTGTCTTTTAAAGAAAATTAGTTTATAATGACAACTATTTAGCTTTGGGCTGGAAAGCACCCATCTCCTAAAGGGGAAATAATTGAATTTGTGATGAGAATTTCCTTCCCTCTCCATCTACAACATTTTTTTATGTGGATGGTTTAGAGAAAATTGTGTCAGATAGTTATAACTAACATGAGCTCAAGTTCAAACACCTTTTTATAATAAATACCATTAAAAAGCACAGAAGGATTTTGTAAAATCTATCATTGCTTTGTAAGAAGAATGTATTAGTCTGTTACACARTGTATTTTAGGACTTCACATGATACAAGGCCTACCATAACCAGTGATAACAATTTAGACTTTAAAAAGGAAGAATGTAGAACATCCAAAGTTTACTGAAAGCTACTAGTTTCAGAGTATGCTTCTCTTTGCTAAGCCCAGTGTCTTCTCTTGATAGAAGTATATTTTAGCTGGATTTCTGCTAAGCTTCAGATTAAATTTAGAGCAAGTTCAACAAACAAAATGCAACTAAACAACTCATCCACAACCCCATATTTGCACCTTAGTCAATTCAATTCAGTCTACAAAACAATCAAAGCATAGGTGCCTGACAACTTACCACTTTATATTGCAATTGTCCAGGTGGACTACCTGATCAAGCCCTTTACAAAAACAGAATAATTATCATAGTTAAGAAAATCATAACGCGAACTACCTGGATCTGCCAAACCAGTTGTTTCTAACAGTATATAGTCAAATTTTCCTCTTTTTTGCATCAGGTTCTCAATTGCTTTCACACCACTGTCCCTGAAAGAAGAAACAAACTTGAGAGCAAAGAAAACAAGCTAAACCATCTACTTAAATGTATCTTCTGATGCAGAACACGTTGTCAGTACCATCAAAGCAAAAGTTCTGTGTCAGAACATCTGTAGACTTACAGTCTATGATGAAAATGTTATCATTTTGATGCTCTAATGTTAGGCAAATTTTAGTTTTCTGTTTCATTTTAGTCTGAAAATAGTATTTGCCTACTCCCACCAGGTTATTTAAACAAAGATTTGTTTTCAAACACTGAACAACCTGTAAAGGAGAGTAGAGCTGTGCAGATATATAACTATGTGGTTTAGCAGCTGAAATTACAGAAAGAAGGGGTGAGGTAAAGTGAACCATGTTGCCCTGTCTTTCTATCTCACTGAAAACAAGATTAAGATGTGCCATTTACTTAGAGTTGATGAAGTCAGCCTGAAGCAGAAATGTATAGCATTTATATAAGAAACCAACGTATGTAAAACATAGCAGCATTCCTTACACAGCATTTCAATGCAAGACAACATTTCTTACACCCCAGAACAACAGAATGCAATAGGATCTTCAGTTTTCCACTTACTACCTATTACTGTTTAAGGCATAAGACCAGTTCATCCAGATTTTCAGGAAAAACAGGCCATGACCTTCATTTACAAAATAAGCATGAATAATCCAGCATTCAAACAAACAGGGTAAAAAAATATGTCAATGAAACAAATACCCTCTTGCTTTTTAACATGACCATCAACTTACAGTTTTGGATATCATTAGGTCACAAAAGGTTTTCCATTCACCCTTTCTCATRTATACAATACTGAGGTAGTAACCAATGTACAAGGAAAGAAGCAAWGTATTTAATGTGGAAACTTAAGTCCTAACATAATCTTCTGTTCTGTACCTGGAAGCATGTAACACCAACAGAAGCACAGCTCCCTACTCTACAGCACCCCACTAATGTATAAGTTGGTATTTAGATTACTTTTTTTAAAGACACCAAGTGTGAATGCAGTAAGGCAGCAACAGGAAACAAATTTCGATCTCCCAAATTCCAATCCTTATTTCATCTGAAAAAAGAAGTCTCAATCAATTCCACCATCCGTTTCAGAAATCAAATCCTGGATATCTTCCCCCTTCCTCAATTCCCCATAATTTTCACTCTAAGAACTTGTACAATAGCTCTTCCTTACTTTACTGAGCAGCACAAGCAGCCATTTCTGAGCTCCAGCCATTCTTCATAGAGTTCTCCCCCTTGACTGATTGCTAGCGATTTCTCCAAGGCACTTCCTGAAAATAYAAGCAGTGCTATATTTTTAATCTACAATTTCATAAGACAATGCCTGTAAGAGAGATACTAGGATTACATTCTTTTCTCCTGAGATCATATTACCGATGCATTCTTTAGAAATCCATATTTTCAATTTTAAAAGAAATCTAAAAGCCAAAACAAAGATCAGACTYCACAGGATGATGGTACATCCTAAGAGGCACAAGCTTTGCCAAAAGAAAGGGATGCTGGCCAGTATCTCCATACCAAATAAAGGCTGTCTGTACATTTTATTTTCGGCTCCACAACCAGAAAAGTGACGTGCATCTTTGTTGGTGAAAACAAACAAAAAGTCCCCCACCAACACTGTGCAAACTGTAAGCAGTGCTGACGATGGTACTGATATGAAATTATAGCCAGAGCAATTAAAAATCCTGAAAGCAAAGAGTTCAAAGAAGCATAGTCATCAAGCACACATCTCCCCATTTTCTTGGTCTAAGATAATTGTGATCTGTAAATGGCTGAGGTGAAAGAAAATATTATCTACCAACACATAATTATAATTTCCATTTGCTTGAAACTGAACAGGACAAATGGAAATATGGCACTTTCAACTGGGTATGTTCATTTACTTTACTCTGAGGGCCTAAATTTATGTGTAAAACAGATTAATGCAAGTCACTATTTTATGAAAACTAGCAATAAGACTTCCTGCTCTTCTGAAGAGTATGATGCCAATAGTTTCAGTAATGGATTTAAAATTACAACAGTCTTGCTTTCCACCAGTTTTATGTACCTGTCATTATGTGGGAAAAAGAAAGGTTTCTGCAGGTTTACATACCTTCTCCGAATTCATTCAGAATAACTGCTATTCTTTTATTATGCTGTTCTGTCAGTATGTAATTTAGAAGAGTTGTTTTTCCAGCTCCTAGAACACAGACCACACTTTATTAAAATGTAAAAAGAAACCCTTAAATAAAAATAAAAACCAGATACTGTCATGAATGTACATGCACACTTCAAGCAAACAGCTTCTTTCAGTTTTCATTTTAACATATTGCATTATATTCCAATGATGTAAAAATTAATTGGTAGAGATATTTGACCCCATGGAACTATCAGGACATTAGGCATCAGYCTTAAGTGACTCACAGTTTTTTTTCATTCACTAAGTGTCACTGCTTGATAAACTCACATTTCCTACTAGCTGGGCAGTCTGYTCCTAGAAAACTAATTTTTTTGCTTCTCTTAACAAAAGGCACACAATCTTCTCCCTCCCACTGCCTTTTCTGACCAGTTCTGTCCTGAGTAACCACGGATATGCTACCAACTGCCTTTACACGGGGCATTGTTAAAGCAGGTGTTCACAACCTCTGCAATACTACCTTAGCAGCAGTTTCCTTCCATGCACAGTATCACAGAATCGTCAGGGCTAGAAGGGATCTCTGGAGATGATCTACTCCAAACAAGGCAGAAACTTCCTTACCTGTCCTAACTTAAGAGTTTCTTTCTGAAAAAGTGTGATGCACTGCAATGCTACAACTTTTGAACGAATGCCGGCGATCCTAAGTTTAACCCGATCCTTACTGTCCATAACGATGAGTAGTACATGGTAATTACAGTGGTAGAGGGGCGTGGGGAGGACGCCGAATCTCACGCTTGTCAGACTGCAATTCAGTCTGCGTATAAGTSAGACAATATGTTGCACTATTCTGACGCGAAGCGACCAAAAAACGTTTGTCAGTCGTGACCTGAACGAAGCGGCCTCTGAAAACAGGGTGATAAAAGCAGTAACGGGAGCTTACACTGGTGCTCTAAGTGGTGCTGCAAATCCACACGGAGCGGCCGGTGTGCCCGCGGCGCTCAGGCGGCCCGTGGGGCGGAGGCCGCCATGGGCTCCCCYGCTCCGCCCGGCGCCCGGCGCTGCAGCCCCGCTCCCGCGGCAGCSCAGCCCAGGCCTTCCCTGCCGCTCCTCACCTAAGTACCCCGTGATGATCGTCACGGGGATCTTCTTGCCGGGGATGCCATCGGTCTCCCCCGCGCCGCCGGCGTCTATCGGGACCAGGTCGGGGCAATCCTCGTCCTCCATGCGAGCGCGCTCGACTCCGCCCAGGCCAGCAGCTCTCGCCACGGCGCTCGCCTGACGTCGCTCCATAAGTGTCGTTCGGTGACGTCATCGTATGACGTAACGCGGCGCCACGCCTCGGCCCCAGCGACACCTCCCCCGCGCGGGGTTCCGCGCAGGCGCAGTACGGAGAGCGGAGCGGGGCGGGCTCAATGATGGGAATGCGGGTGCACGGAGTCCCGGGGAATGGAGCCGTGGTGGGGTATCCGCTCCAAACCCCGTGCTCAAGCCGACACAACCTACAGCAAAGGCATGGGATTCTGTCCGGACGGTTCTGTGAATGCCTCCAGTGCGGGAGACTCCACAGCCTCTCTGGACGGTGCATTCCAGTGCACGGTCATCTGCTCAACAAAGTTCYTCCTCACGGTCAGGTGAACTTCTGTGCGTCAGTTGCTGCCATTRCCTCTTGTCCTATTGCCTGGCACTACTGAGAGGAGCCTGGCTCCACTCTCAGACATGCTCCCTTCAGACACTGATAGACATTGATGAGGCCCTCTCTTCCAGAGGCTGAACAGGCCCAGCTCCCTCAGCCTTCCTCATAAGAGAGATGCTCTTCTTTAGTCACCTCTCTTGCTGTCTGTTAAACCTGTTCCAGGAGCTCCGTGTCCCTCATGTCCTGAGGAGCCCAGAACCAGATGCAACACTCCAGATGTGCCTCACCAGGGCTGAGAGAGGGGCAGGATCCCCTCCCTCCACCTGCTGGAATGCTCTTCCTAATGAACACCATTGGCCTTCTTGGCCGTAAGGACACACTGCTGGCTCGTGAACAGCTTGCTGTCCATCAGCACCCTCATGTCCTTCTCCACAGATCTGCTGTCCAGCAGATTGGCCCCAAGCCTGGTCAGACACACCAGGAGCACTGAAGGAGCCTCAATGTAATTAACAAACCCATTGCAGGGTGCATGTGTCATCATCTATCTATAATCAGAAATAATCAACAATGTGAATGTTGGCTTTCTCTGCTCTCCAYTAGGGAACACGAGGGGACACATACACACATAAGACATTCCTAAGGTTAATTTTAACAGTGTTGTGTATTCCCCAGCTTTTTGTGGGCCATGGATTTAGCCAATGTGTAGCACATTTCTTCATGCCAGAATGTGTAAATGTAACAGCATTGACAGGGCACAGGGAAGAGCTTGGCCTGATGCTGATACATGCAAACACCCAAAACCAAGGTGGGGTTCTCTGCTCTCAGMATACGGTCCAATAGCACAGTCAGTACGACTGTGGTCAAATATGCTGGACTTCATCTTGTTTATACTTCTATTGGCTTGTATGGTAATAAATGTACTTGGTATTTATCTTTGACTCTTCCTATACTTGTGTTGGTTAAAGTATTTAATACTGATAATATTTGATTATATGCCATTCTAAATAGTTGGCTTCTGCTTTAGTTACTCTAATTATAATAAGCATGTGAAAGTCTGGTTTAAGAAATAATAAAATCATTTATTTAAACCATTTATTCAGCTTGTCTTTGGAGATACAGCCATATTTACTCTAACAGAAATACCTACAATACACAGGCTATTGATGTCTAGAGTTTTAGAACCAATGCATAATAAAAGGCATCTTTCTGCATTCTTTTTTCAGCCACTCAGGTCATCCCCTTGTATGATGCATCCTTTTGTAAACGAAAAATCACATCAGGTTTTCAAAGCTGTATCTGCTAGAACCCTGCCTGATGGCAGATGTTTTTGCTGTCCTGGGACTGCACAGCTTTATATATTTCTGTTATTAAGGGATTAATTTAAAAAAATTAAAAMATTTTCTTTGCAAGAAGGCTATGGGTAAAAGACAAATAAGTCAGAAAGGCATTGGGAATGAGCAGTTTTGCATTGCAAATAGAAGGTGCAAGTTGTCTTTTAAAATGAGATTATTTGTAATACTGAAATTTCAGTTACATGCCACTGAGACACCTGGTATTGGGAAAGAAACATCACTAAGCTGATGTCGTTGTTCTTAAAGTGATTCTGCTTTTCATCAGCTCACAAAACACTGCTCATTATTTTTCCTCTTGAACAAAATTACCTAAACTAAATACTATGGTTTCTGTGTTTTCTTTTGGTTTCTTTAAAGTTTATATTCAAATACTGCATTTTTGCTGCAGATGTTAGCTTTCCTTTGATTTCTGCTGAAGCATGTAATAAAGCCTACTTTGTAAAGATAGATGCATGTTTTAGTGTGGTTGGCAGCTAAATGTGCATAGCAAGCTTCAATCTGTGGCACAGTTAAGTGTTTTATTCTAAGATCTTTGTAGACAAGACATACAACATCAGAAAGCAGTAAAGGGTTGATGGGTACCAGGAAGTTGTTTTTCATTATTAATTTAGTTGGCTGCACTTGAAATAACTTAAGTCCCTTCCCAAATAATGAAGATCTCAGTGCAAGCAAAGCCATTTGCTTCAGCCTGATATGAATGAGGGAATGAAGTGTTAAAGGCTTTAGAGGAGAACTGGGGGGAAAGGCTGTAACAGGAAAATACGGTCATTGCAACTTGCTGATTCCTGATACAGTACCAAGAGGAGCATGATCTGATCAAAGCAGCAGAAGGAAATCATTGGCATTTCAATATAACATGGAATATGAGTCTTACCGCATAATAGCCCTSTGAAAAGGAGATTCCTGTATGGTACTACTAGTCAGTATAGTACAATGCAGTTCAGCATCTCAGAGAAAGGAACTGCAARTTCATACAATGATACCAGTTAACCTGCAAAACAATGTGGAAAGAGATACTAAATACAATTTTGTGATCTCAAAATATAAACTAGTGAGCAGATGCATGACTTCAGTYAGCATGATTTGCTCACTCCCAGAGTACATTTACTTCTTTGTTGTCTATTACATGTTTAACTTGTCCTATATAAATTTTTTTCTATTTTCTTATCTTCTTATCTTCTTTCTTATCTTATTCTTTCTTATTGACAGTTTCTCCTGACATTTTTTACTTTGAAGAATGCAGATTATTCACATCATTTAAGAGAAGAAAGACCTTACTTCAGCAAGTGCACCTGCTCTTTAATACTGCTACTTTTTATGGTATAAAAAATAAAATTTTAAACCTAGGAGTGACTTTAATTTCTTAAAGGGAGGCTCACTATTTCATTGCCAATATATTTAAAACATTAATAGGAATAATGGAAAACTACACTTATTTTTCTGATACTTAGCCTACTAAATTTCATATAACTTTTTTTCTTTAAAACCGTTTTGACTAAATTACTTAGATTTTACTGGATACAGCTGAGATCTGTGCAAGCAAAAACACTGAACTGGATGGTATGTCAGCTTCCTTTGAGGAAAGAGTGTTAAGTTGTACTGGCTACATGACACTCTTCTAKTCAGTGATGTGATAGGAAGGTGGAMTATGAGCAATCAAGGAAGATCCCATTTCATGCCACATGAGCTATTAAAATGAAGCTTGGGCTCTTTTTTATAGCTTCAATTAAAAATTAGGTAGTGTCTTGCCAGAGCCAGTATTTATTACATTCAGAAGTTTTTCTTGTCACCAATACACATGTCAGACCACAGCTACATATCAGTGATTTGTAACTAAGTGGTATTTAATTTCAAGTTACATTTAGGTAAGTGGCCTTAGTTTTATCTTGGTGACGTAAAGACAGGATGGGTGTGGTGGGTAGGTTCTATGCAATAAAGTGTCATATTTATTCTCCCCAAAGCAAATATTTATTAGGTAGCAACATCCTATAAATAGCAGATTTAAGTAATTTCCTTCATAGATTTCTCTGAACTATTTCAGGTCTTGTTCTGCTGTAGGTCCTCGTGGGTTTTGTCAAAAACTATATCCATACTTGTTTTCATTTTCAACTTCTTTTATTTACCTCTGGGATTTTTTTCTTAAATCTTTTCTTCAGCCTCTCTACATTTCCCTAAGGGCCCTGAGCCAGAGGTACTAAGGTTAATATTCGTATTTGAGACCACACACACTTAACAGTACTCTGAAGAATGGCGAATCCTACAGAGATGAAGGTAAGTGTTAGAAGAATGATTTTAGGCCTTCACTATTTGATAGTCTTCTGTTCCTTGCCTCATATCCTGCTGTTTTCCCCTAGATACCCTCTAGATACTAGGAGAGATTAAGTTATGACTGCCTTCCAGTAAGTGAATCCTAATGTTGCCATGAAAGCACAGATTTAATAAAAACAAGACAACCTAGAATTAAATTGCCTCAACTATCTCAGAATTCATCGGCAGAAACCATGTTTGGCTTCTGTTTCCCCTTTCAGATGAAGGCTGAGTTCTCCTTATCTGCAGCAGTCAAAACTGCATCAAGGCAGAAAGAAAAACACCCATTAGGAAACAGCATTTTGTAACTTAATAAAAAATGGCCTTTTTAAAAAGCTGAGCAGTAAGTGCTGGTGAATAGAACAGCAGTGAGGCCTGCCAAGCTGAGCTGGTACATGTGAGTTTTTCTTATACACACAGTTTGCATGCAAGAGAAACAAATCCGACAATTCCTGTGTATTTGCAAAACATTGTCCTAGGTAAAGAGCTGACRTATTTACGTCTCATGCCTTGCTGTCCCTACCTTCCCGAACAACTTCCCTGTGCCAGAGAGGCCGRAGGAAGGTCCCTGATCATCTCTGATGCCTGAAGGGCAGTGGGTGTGGCTGTGCCCCGCTCGGAGCACCCCTGCTCAGACCTGCCTGCTCCCCTGGCAGGACAGGGTGGATGCTCGGCACCCGGGGCCGCTCCGCCTATTGCGGTGCGCAGCTGTACCCTCTGCTTCCTCGCCCACCTCCGCAGAGCAACGCTTGACCCCCGGCGGGTGTGTGTATGTGTGTGTGTGGGGTGTGTGTGGGGTGTGGTGGGGCGGAGGCAGAGATGTCTGACACCCGAACTGCGGTTTCCAAAAGAAAAAGAGTTGTGAGGGATGCGCAAGAATTCCCGCAATTGTGCGCGTTCAGATGTAAACGGTGCCTTCCCTTCTGGTCCATGCACTTGCCTTCCCAGCTGCTTCCCTCCAAAATGCCCACGGGCGGCTYGGGGTTCGCCTCTGTAAAGGAGGGAGG